TTGGATATGTAACTGATTACAAGAGATTACACTTTGGAATCCACCCTCCTTGCACTTCCCCAGACTAAATCTGATGTGATCTGAGATTGGGGAAGTTGACATCATTCACAGAGGCCATGAGGAGATAGAGTGTAACAAAAACAGATGCAGGGAACGTTCTCTTAAAAATATGCAACATGTCACCACATGTGTTTCAGCTTTGATAAGAAGGGAAGTGTTGGAAGCGCAGGGGTGTAATTGCTTCTGTAATCATCTTTTCATCACATAAAACTGTCATTGATAAAGTCAGTGCTGTTGCCTAAACAAAAGGAAGAGAAACCATTCACGAATAAACCATCACCGACCTCAACGAGATTGGCAAAGGCCTCATTTATATTTGATTGTGTGATCAAAAATGTCTTGAACAGTTAGCCACCATAAAGTGCCGAAAAGCTAAATTTAAAAGTTTAAATCATATCACTTAATCCAATTAAAATGGATGCCGGTTAAAATATTTTACATTTACCTGTGTCAAACATGCCCTAAACCATTAAATCATGTTTATGGGGTGACATGTGGCTCTGCCAACATACTGAAAACCAAAGTAAATGTTGAACCTGTTCCACAAATTACAATTACTCCTCTAAAACAAGACTTTTTAAGGAGAAAACAACAATAGCAAAAGAAGGAATCAGAAAGCATAAAACAACAATAGCTGTCTGTTGCTTTGTTCTGCTGAGGTAGATTATTAAACACATTATTATGCCTTCGTCTTTTTTTACCGAAAGCATGCCAAGGTAAAGTGATATTAAATTCATGTATGCAATACTAGCAGGCCAGAAAACAGGTTTCTGTCCTAGTCCCAAAGCATTTATTATCTTCCTCTTGAACAACAGGTAATCCCCAGTGCCTCTTGCTGCACAAAGTTACTGAACACATGACCTTGAAACAGATTGAGGGGAAAAAATGCAGTATTAGTTGTGGTATATCAATTTAGCATTGCAAAACAATGAATCAGAGGTCTTATTGCTGGTATAACCTCTCCATACAGTGTGACATTGCTTTAAATAATCTGTTTTATATTTAAAAAAAAATCACAAATGCACAAAAGTTAATTCTTTTTATGTTGGATTTAAGTTAAAAACAATTATCTGATATGTGCTTGACACTGCTGAGGGGCAACAATGACAACATTCAGAGAGCTGAAGGTAGGAAGGAGTGAATGTGATTACTTTTTTTTCCTTTTTAATACCATTATGGACTGAGTGTCTGCATTTGATCGCAAAGGTGTCAAGAGTAAATGAGTTACGGCGCCTAAATACGGTGAACTGAATGGAATGTTCCTTCCGGCGGTATCTTGTGGTCTTACATGTACTGTACAAACTGCCTCTACGGGGCTTGTCTGAACTTATACTGTAGGTATTTCCAGTTGCAACGCCTGCAAGGAAACGTGGCCCGTCACAAGTCAAAACAAGAGGGAAGCTTCCTATGATGATAAAATTAAATGAGCATTCTCTTTGGATCAGAAAGTTGTGCTGGTGTGTGTGTGTGTGTTTCCCTGTAATTTATTCACACCCATCTCGTTAGCTGCAGTTACAACACGAAGAAACAGCAGCATCGCATGAGGATAGATTATTATGTGCACCTCCTGTCTCTGACAGCTTTGAGAGACTCTTTTGGGGAATGTAACTACAACCTACTCGACATGATCCCCGAATTTAATTGAATCACATCAGCCACATCTGGTATTTGTCTTAGTGGTATTCACAGTATGTGTTGACACAGTTTCTCCCACTTAAGTCTGACAGAAATGAATGTAGTGTGCTTACCCCTTGTGTGTATTTGTGACAGAGAGGGACTTGTTTTGCTGTTGCATACTCTATTATCCATTATATTTGCCTTAATAACATTATCCTCCTTCTGTTTTTTTTATAATCATCTCTGGGGAAAAGGGACCACAAAGCAAATTTGTAATGCAGTGGCACTGCAGCGCTATAATTGTCTTTTTAATTTGATTTTTGGTTAAAAAGACCACCTCCATGGATCCTGGCTTTTCTAAACACAGCGGCGTTTCATTAAATAAAACAGAGACAGAGGCATGCTTTTTCACAAGAAACCATTCCCTCTGCTGCAAGTCACAATGCTGTACGGTAAATAAATCAATGCTGAGAAATCCACACTGTTGTTCACTACATATCAGACATATTAGGGGATATTGTTTTCCTTTACAATCTGATTTCCAGCTTTCCTCACAGCTGTTTACCATCCCAAAGCCACAGAGGAAAAACCAGACCCTTCTGGTTTGTCACATCATCTGGTAATAAGTGGGGAGTGGAGGAAAGCTTCTCACAGGCCAGATTAGGTCCCCAGTCCCAACCAGCTGCGAGAATGATCCCTTTCATAGAAATTACAAGACCATTCAGAGAGAGTAGGTGGACACTATCCCACTTTCCCACCATAAAAAGACCTCTCCTTTCATTCCACTCTCCTCCATCTGTGTCTTGAGACGTAATAGTGCCAGTGAGACTGGAGCGTGGCTGAAAACACCTGACAGGGAGCAAAGGAGCAGAGCAATCCCACAAATGAAGCAGCCCTGAGGGAAGATGATCGAAGGGGATGCAGTTAGTTTTGCGAGTTGCTTGAAGGTAAGACAATGAGCCAACCTGTTACATAAGAGCTGTCACATGGTTGAGTGGCTATACACACATCATACATTCCTATGTCTGACATGTGTACATCTCCTAATCCATGTGGTGGGGTGTAGTGGTGCTCTCGAGGTTTAATTACTGCCCATGCCTTGTTGCTTTGACTCATTTATTTACATCCTGTTTCTATAAACAGAGCTGAAGCATGCTTTTTAAAGTGTGTGTGCACACATCAGGTATTCATACAAAAGGTCGGGCAAGTTTGGAAACGTCTTTGTTAAGATCAGTGTGACATCTTCAACACAAACTGCTACTCACAACATTTTATCCTTAACAACTAATAAGGCATTAGATGTGGCTACTGCTCTGGCCCTCATCCACCCAGATACTAAAAGTCATAAATGTGTCTCAAGGAAAAATCAGTCTGAGATTGTCCTTCATGGTACAATAGATGGGTAATTTCCCATAGCTGGAGGAAAACAACAAGCTATGTCACAGTTAGAACATATGAACTCTAAATGGACTTGATTCGTTCCACTCCATTACTCATTTTGTGTGTCAGTCAATACATCATGGAACATCGTCTCCTGGGTTAGCAGTGTGCAGAGCCAAAGCTGGCCTGCTTAGTGCGTGTTTACGGCAAAATTCTGCCTTAGATGTGGACAAGCAGGCAACACAAGAATGAACATTGTGTTTCCAGGTAGTGGATTTGAAGAAGTGTTTGCCCAAGGTGGTTGAAGAGTGAATTTATGGATTTAATGTTTACAGATAGTGCCCTCAAGTGGCAAAATTTGATTATTACACCATGACTATCAATACAGTCACTGTCTCGACTACTTCAATGGCAAAATTCAAAGCCTAAAGATGAATGAACACAACCTAATTTCTATATTTTCAAATGTGCACACAGTGGGAGATACTAACTAAAAAGTTAGTTTCGAGATTGTACTGAAATATCCAATTTTAAAGAATCATTCTTCAAAATATATTAAACAAAAATGAAAGAAAGAATCAGACGTACAAATTAAAGAGGGGAGGACTGGACAGAGATATGGGAGGCACAGGCAACTACTGCAAACTCAAAGTCCCTGAGGGAGTTTGGCCTGTGATTCTCTATCACCCCTAGACTATCAGCACTGTGACCAGGCCTACAGAGCCAGGGCTTTTGTCAGAGGCAATGCAGAACCTCACTGGCCAATCATTATCACGTTTTCTGGGAATGCCCAAAAATACAACCATACTGGCAAAAGATTGCAGCTGAGATTCATAAGATAATTGGGATGGATTTAGTCTACTCTTTTGTTACATTATACACAAAGGGAAATATTTATTAAATATACTTTTGGCAAGTAGCAGGAAAGCTATAACACGCAAATGGTTGCACGTTTGTCCTCAAACACTGGCCCAGTGGCTGGGGATTATAAACAAAATATACTGTATGGAAAGACTTACTTTTATTTTAAGGCTTGAGATGGAAAGTGTACAAATTATTGGGAGAAATGGATTGTGTATAGACACTGTTGAGAAAAAAAAGTACGTGAAAAACGCACTGTGATTTGACCTTGTAACACCCATGATGACCTTATGTTCTCTGTTTCTGAAAAAAAAAGAGTGACAAAAAAGACTTGTAGGAAACCATAGCTGAAATTATTCTTTAGATGTGACCAGCTTTGCAGCTCAGTTTTGAAGAAAAAGAATCTAAAATTGCTAAAAGATTTTTTTTTTTATTTAGTAAAACACAACAAAGCAGTAATAATAATTCAATACTTAACCCTGAGAAATGTCAGATATTAGTCACATTCCCTTATTTTTCATCAGGCTAAAACCGCCATCAGAAAGCCAGTAACTCAGTTGCATCAAGAGTAGTGTTGTCAAAAAGATCAATTTGCCAATACATATTGATTTGGAATATTTAAAACTGTTTAAATACTCATTTTCCATAGTATCACTACACTGATACCAGCTGCGCTTTCTGGTTCTCTCTTACTGTTAATGTTTACTACAGTCTTTCTGCTGTTCTCTGCTACTTATATAACATTTATTATATTTATCTTTTAATTAAAAAATATATATATTTTATACCCTCAATGTCAATTTTTCCCCATGTTATCAAAATCAGAATTAAATATCAATATTTTTCAAGGTGTTGTATCAAAGTTAAATAGTTAAACACTATATCAGCATAGAAAGTCCTCCAGTTACACTGTTACTTGTGTTAATTACTCAGTTACTCATGTTAGAGCACTATGAGTTGAGAGCTCACTGGATGTTGGTATATAGGTTGGTCCCAACATTTATAGGAATGCTTTCACTATCCTCTATATCTTCATTAAAAAAAGGAGAGAGAACATCATATGGCAAAATACAGGTCTTTCCAACACACCTCAAAGCACGGTGTGAGCGAGCAAACATGGGGAACACCCCTTTGTGGTCTCCATGCCGCTACTCTGTTCTTAATGGTATGTCACAGTCACATTGCTGATCACTGGCCAGGCAACTGAACATCTGCCTGTTCTGGTGTCAGTCTGGGTGTGAGCTCCCCCTGCAGGGCTGGTGTATGTGGTGCTGGTGATGTTTCTGTAGAGCTGCCCTGGCCGTGTGAGGGCGAGTAATGGCTGGTCTGTCCACCGGTTTGTATGTCTGAGGAGTTTGACGATGCTTGCTGCCAGACTGAATGCTGGGTAAGTCCATCTCAGCACTGAAAGAGAGAAAATCTTTCTTTAGTACCACCTGATATGAATAATAAACTTAAACTGTTAGACAGTAGTCATTAACATCTGGTTCCTATCAGTTGAGGAATTTAATTCCTAAATGATCACGTCATGCTTTTCAAAAAACACATGACCATCCTTTTTACACACTGACTAATGGTTTTTATTTGAATCACAAGTTCAACTCAGTATTTTTAATAAATATACAATACAGGAGCTTTAAAATCTATTGTTTTTTTATACTGTATAAATACACATTGGGTTATAAAAGTAGCTTTTAATGATGCATTACCATGAATTCATGAGCCTTCCACCCAGGGCGTTTGTTGGAGGTGGGCGGGGTATGTGTGCAGGTGGGGGCAACAGAGGCACATTAGTCCTGGTCAGCTGCTGGACCCTCTGGAGCGTCTGCTCCGTGCTTGTACCTGTCCCCGGGGAGTGCCCTTCTCTGCTGAAATCAGGTATATAATCTGAGTTGGTCTGGCTGAGTCGAAGCCTACGTGCGCGGATCCCCGGTGGTTTGCGATTACCAGTAGCTGCTGTGGCGCTGAGAGGGGGTGAAGGGGACAGCGTGGCGTCTGGGGACAGGGACAGCTGAGCCACTTCGGGGGATAAGGCCTCTCTGTGATGCGGGTCTGAAAACAGAATCATTACAAAAGGTTCAGCAGCTGCCATTACAGTTTGTAATCTACTAGTATATTATTTGTTATGTCAGATGTTATTGTGGATTGATTCTCTCAGTCTCTTTATAAGCAGTACGTTCATTCAGTGAGAACTGACCTGGGGAAAGAGACAGGAAAGAGGAATCTGGAGAGGCAGTATCTAGGCTGTCACCACGCTTCTCCGCTTCATATTCCTCACCACTACTGTCATTTTTCATACAGCCAAAGCCTTCTTCTTCATCATCATTATCATCTTCCCCCTCTTCTTTATCACTATGCTGGATAGCCAGGACCTGTGGCAATCGTTCTTGCTCTATGACCTGGAGACGCCTGAAAAATAATGCAGAAAGATGTTTAGTTTCATCTCTCTAAGGTGTACAGAGGAAGCCGAGGCGAGGAGCAAACTTAGAAGACTTCTAAAATCTGTATTAGCTGTTAGGAGATGCCTCATGGATTGGGACTGGATCATATTCCAATAGCAAGATGTAAAATAAATGCTTTATATAATTCTGTTTGTTTCCATCTTAGGAGAAATGCAGTGAAGTGTGTAAGGAGTTAGTACCTGCTGTGCTGCTCCCTCCAAGCTCTAAGCTCAGCAAACACATCACCGCGTTCTCTCGCATCAGGCTCCTCAAGGTCGTACGTGTGCTCTGGCACATGGATGGGCAGGTCACGGGGGGTGAAAGCAGACCTGGTGGGTGCTGTCTACGAGACCAAGGAGAGGGAGAATGAGCATGGAGCTATGAGAGGAAGCTAGAAAACATAACAGAATAGAGGCCTGAGAGCTGAGGACATTAATTATGGATAGAGTAATGGTTAGACAGAGAGGGAGGGTAAACACAGGAGGGGCAGGCAGACCAGGAGGGGAAGGTAAGAGGAAGGCAGAGAGTGACAGCAGCGGTGTGTATGCGCCAGTATGACAGATAACATGGCATTGGCAGCGAGAGCCCCATCTGTCAAGCTGCTCTGACACCGCTGCACCCTTCGCACATCTCCATCCCCCGTGTCCTCCTCCCACCACCCGTGCTGTCCTCTCAGGTTTCTGTTCTCCTGCTAATAATTAGCTCCTTCTATGTATACTGACATGACATTAAAGAGATGAGCTGGTAGTGTCAGACAGCCGTAATGGCCTGCCAGAGCACATAAAGCGTGTTGTTCCTCTCAGAAGACACTAAATGCTAACAGCATGCACAAACTGATAGACTGGTGTGGAATCATCTGATATCTGATCAACAGAGATCTGTGTTCCCTGGAACAAGATGTTTTTCACTGCAATGAGGAAAGTTTGTTATTTTTCCTTCCAACAAAAACCACCTACCCTCAACTTTTCTCGCTTTGCTCGGACAGCCTTGACTAGGTTTCCACAGAACAGGATCTTGCCAGCTCCTTCAAAAAACATGAAATAATTTTAAAAGAGCACAAAATGAATAAAAGAAGGATTTCAGTCACTGTTTTCTGACACAAAAAGTCCACTTGGTGGCGCTGTTGAGTAAAGATTCCTCTTGACAAAGTTTATGTGTAAATTATGATAGTAAAGAGAAGAAAAAGGAAGTGGCACTTAAATAAAAGAATGTGGCTGTATGTAGATCTCACTGTAGAAACATCAATGCCCCCAATGTGCCTAACCATGTGTCAGGGTGCTGGTTTCTGCTTCCACTGTTGCTAGATCTGAGCCTGCAGATCCAGGTCTGGATCCAGGAGGGGAGAGAACTGCAGGTCTGCTTGCTGACATGGGTCTGGAGCCAGTATGGGGTCTGGAGCCTGCTGACGAGAGGGGCCAGACGTAGGAGCCGCTGGAAGCAGGGCGCCTGGCTGACCCAGGTCTGCTGTAAAGACATGCACTGTCTGCTGTTTCTTCTACGGAGTAAAAAGTGAGTGGCCCATTAAATACACCGCTGTAATTACCTGGCACATCAACGCACTCAAAGCAACATACACACACCGTCTTCAGTAGGTGCCTGAGAGAAACTGCAGTCTCTTATGGTGTTTCGAAGAATGGCCCAGTCCTCTCCCATGGCGCTGCCGCAGCTCAGCTTGTCCTCCTCCACCCTTAAATCGTCTAGGTAACACAGCTGAGGGACCAACTCCCTCACTGCAGCCCGATAACTATAGTCTGCCGTCTGGGTGGAAGGGAGGGAGCATAGGGGAGAGGACAGACAGGTGTTTAAAGAGGCAATTAAAGGGGACAAAAAGGGGTCATTACAAGATGGATGGGACATAATATTAGTGAGAAACTGTGACTTTAATGTATGAACAGTAAGGTTCACTGTGGTACGCCTTAGTGCTCTTACTCTGTTTAGATTTTGTGACTGTTACTTTGAATGAAATGCAAACGTTTCGAGTGATGTATTGTAGGATAATGAAAAATGGTAATCTGTGACAGACTTAAGTGCCTCATTCATAACAAGTGAACCGTCAAATATTAACTCATATTATGTCATTTTATTCTAAGTCTCATTGACTTCGCAACTGTCTTATTCTTGTGAACGTGATATCTCAAGAAGGTCTGGGGGAATTTCCTCAAATTTGGCACAAATGTCCACTTGGACTCAAATTTGGTGGTCAAAGGTCAAGGTCACTGTGACCTCACAAAACATGTTTTTGACCATAACTCTGGAAGTCATACTCTAATCTTGGTGCTCGAGGTGCTTATTCTAGTTTTAGAATTGTCTTCTGTATAAAAAACACACGACTGGTGCACATTTTCGTGCAATGGTTTCAGTTCCATGTGCCACTGACAATGATACAAGAGACTAATTTCAAGTCACTGATACACTAGCAGTCCAAACGTAGGATAGCTCTAGATGTGTCAATAGTCACTAGCATCGTATTAATATACACTCACTGGCCTCTTTATTAGGTACACCTTAATAGTACCAGGTTGGACCCCTTTTGCCTTCAGAACTGCCTTAATTCTTTGTGGCATAGATTCAACAAGGTGCTGGAAATATTCCTCTGAGATTTTGGTCCATATTGACATGATAACATCAAAAAGTAGCTGCAGATTTGTCGGCTGCAAATCCATGAAGAGAATCTCCAGTTCCACCACATCCCAAAGGTGCTCTATTGGATTGAGATCTGGTGACTGTGGAGGCCATTGGAGTACAGTGAACTCATTGTCATGTTCAAGAAACCAGTTTGAGATGATTTGAGCTTTGTGACATGGTGCGTTATCCTGCTGGAAGTAGCCATCAGAAGATGGGTACACTGTGGTCATAAAGGGATGGACACGGTCAGCAACAATACTCAGGTAGGCTGTGGTGTTTAAACCATGCTCAGTTGGTACTAAGGGGCCCAAAGTGTGCCAAGAAAATATCCCCCACACCATTACACCACCACCAGCAGCCTGAACCATTGATACAAGGCAGGATGGATCCATGCTTTCATGTTGTTTACACCAAATTCTGACCCTACCATCTGAATGTGGCAGCAGAAATCCAGACTCATCAGACCAGGCAACATTTTCCAATCTTCTATTGTCCAGTTTTGGTGAGCCTGTGTGAATTGTAGCCTCAGTTTCCTGTTGTTAGCTGACAGGAGTGGCACCTGGTGTGGTCTTCTGCTGCTGTAGCCCATCTGCTTCAAGGTTCAACGTGTTGTTGGTTCAGAGATGGTCTTCTGCAGACCTTGGTTGTAACAAGTTGTTATTTGAGTTACTGCTGCCTTTCTATCATCTTGAACCAGTCTGGCCATTCTCCTCTGACCTCTGGCATCAACAAGGCATTTTCACCCAGAGAACTGCTGCTCACTGGATATTTTCTCTTTTTTGGACCATCTTCTGTAAACCCTAGAGATGGCTGTGTGTGAAAATCCCAGTAGATCAGCAGTTTCTGAAATACTGGCACCAACATCCATGCCACATTCAAAGTCACTTAAATCACCTTTCTTCCCCATTCTAATGCTCAGTTTGAACTTCAGCAGGTCGTCTTGACCATGTCTACGTACATAAATGCATTGAGTTGCTGCCATGTGATTGGCAAATTAGCTATTTGCGTTAACATGCAGTTGAACAGGTGTACTTAATAAAGTGGCCGGTCAGTGTAATGCATATTGGATAACCTTTATTGTGTTTTTTTGCACTCGTTTTGACCATTATGACACTTGAACGGATCTGTGAAACTTAACTTCTTTGAGAGAAAGAGAGAGGCAGAGACAGAGAGAGAGTCAGTCAAGTAAATGACCGAGCCACTGAGCAATCAAATTAGAGCTGGGCACCCCTGCCATTCACCAAGCCACACAGATGCAGTGAATGAAAAAGAGAGTGAAGGGCTGGCAGGGAGGAAATGAGAGAGAAAAGAGGAGGAGAATGAGGGCTGGGTGAGAGGAAGTGAGCGGATGTGTGTGTTTGATGGAAAGAGAGAGAGAGCGAGAGGAGTGATAGTTTGGCAAGCAAGTAAACCCAAGAACCCCTCAGTCACTACAAAGCGCAGACCTAATGCATATTCAGCTCAGCATCTCCCCTCATTGCCCTAGTTTCCTAATTAATGCTCTGCTGGTGGGTGTAAATAAACACATTCACAGAGGCCCAAAAAACTCACAGCACACTGTGTCTCGAATCAGCAGAAGGTGGAAACACAGTGTCTGCCCTGCATCTCCAGATACACTCAATATCACCGAAAAGATCCACGATGCGCTGATTTACGCGCCAAATAAAAATGTATCGGCCAGTTTTCAAAGCGATCAAAACTGCTCTCTAATGTAGTAATAAAACATTCTGTCTGTGTCGTGGTGACTAGCGATAACTTATGTTTGATTATTTTGATGCCTCCTGCTCTCCCAGTGTGCTATCCGGTGCGTTGAGGACCCAGATACAGAGCGGTGAGATCACACAGATGCTTTCATGTCTCAGTGCATGCTAATTACATTTCGGTCATTATCTGACAAAGCCATGAGGGCTGACGGCTGCTCGCACAGGAGAGACAACTCAGGAGAGACGCAGAACCACAAGTTGCATTTACAAGTTGGTTTTTACAACATCTACAGAATACTTTCATTTGAGGAACCTGACCCAGCTACTTGCTCAGCCTTGTTCCACTTAATTCCAGGCAATAATCCAGGATTTTAAGGTGTATATCTGGATAAGAACACCAGCTTCATGTCTATTAGACACATGCACAGACAACATGTCAACACACACACCTCCATCAGACGCTCTCCTTTCATTATCATCAGTGCATCATCACGTTTGGACGGTGTCACCATTGCTGATCAGATATAAGTGTTGAACAATACAGGCAGGCAGATACATGACTTTTGTAGCTAATTTTGGCTCTCGCTGATGTCTCCAGTTGCACAACAATCCCTTTGGAACAATGCGTATTTATCAAATATCTGCATCTGCTGAATTACAAAGGACAAACAGGGGCCTGAGAAGAACAGGAAGATAGGTCTGGTGAAGGGACAACCAGCATTTGGGGTTAAACCTGATCTGTGTGGTGACAGATGTAATCATGTTTAGTTTTATGGCATAAATGACATTAGCAGATCGTTACCCTACCTGGACGGCGGTGGGGTTTGGGCGCACACACACAGGGTTTCCCTCCAGGTTGAGTGTCTGGAGTTTGCCACACAACCCCAGATATTGAACCTGAATTAGGTCGTCCACATCATTCCCTTCCAGATCTAACAGCTGCAGGTTCTCCAGCATGCCAACCTGACTCAGGTCGGACACATTGTTATAGGCCACGTACAGCTCCTGAAACAGAGATGACACAAATGACAATTTGGATATCAATTACTCAGCTCATGTTATGTTGAATTCCTGGTGACTGAAAAATCCAAAAAATGAGTGATTTTTTTTAAAGAATTTAAGTAAAAGGGGGTCCACGTTTCACAACTGCATAATTATGTCAAAACATCTGTTTACAACCTGTCAGTACAATCCAAGTCTCTTATCCAACCATAAGCTCAGTACGTCCCAAACCATATTCCTTTAAAGAAAACTAATTCTAAACATAGGAAGTAGGAAGTCAGGAAAGAATGGCACTCGTTTACCCCCAAAAGAAAAAGAAAAAAAAAACGGACACACTGAAGAAGACTTTCTGTCGAAAAGTCTGTGTTTCCGGTAACGCCACCCAAGTTGGTTTATTAAATTTACCAAAAGGACATTTGTGAGTGCTGGCATCTTTTCTTTTTTTTTGTTGTTTTTGGCCGTGCACCTGTCAAGTGGATTTATTTTGAGAGTGCTTGCTTCTTTCCGATGTGACTCGTTTACCCCCACCCACAGCTATTTGTAACCGACAAACTCCACCTTGAGGGAGAAGAAAGTAGAAATGCCATCTAGGTCTTGTAGAGAGCAGCGAGACATCCACAGCACCTGCAGGTGGGAGAGGGCGGTTCCCAGGTCTCTGAGGAGACAAAATAGCACATGATTTAGAGGCAGGGGAAGGGAGTTGCACAATGCTGTGAATCATGGGAAAGGCTATCCAGTCCCTTGGCCACTTTTCTCTTCCCCCAATATGCAGGCCTCTCCTCTGCCTCCCACTTGTCTCCGCAGCACACCCCTGCTCTGACCCTTCCAGCAGACTCTCAGTTAGTGTATCTACAACCCTGTAACACCCTCTCCACTACAGCTCCCACAGCCCAGAGCAGGAAATGCTATCAGAGGCAGTGCACGTCCGGCTGGCTCTGCTCTGCTCCTCTCAGGGTGGAGCAGACAGCTCCCTATCTTTCTGTTTGTACTCTCCTATCCTTCAGCGGTCTCTCGGGTAACAATTCTCCACCTGTTCTGTTACAAGGACAATTTACACTGTGTGTGTGTGTGTGTGTGTGTGTGTGTGTGTGTGTGTGTGTGTGTCTCATCCCGGATTTTTATTGCTTTACTTCTATCCGATTTTGATGACACAGCTGTGGCTGCAGTCAAATTGGTAGGACAATCCAGGAGAAACTGTGCATATATCCTGTTTTGTTTCCAGCACTATCCAAGTGGAGACATCCGAAAGCTGATAGGCCACAAACCCCTCTATGTCCTATTGTGAGACAGGTGGGTGAACCTGTTCTCCATGTGTATCTACTGTATCTCCAAATCTGCACTGAAAACCACATCTGTTGGTATCTGCTTTACAAGCAGCGACATGCATCTTCCACACAGAAACACTGTATTACAAGTCCCTGTTGGAAAACCTTGGCAGAAGCAGAGCAGACGACTCCTGCACTGCAACAACGCTCAGTTTTTTTTCCAATCAAGTACACATCCCCGTGACTTCTGACCTGCTATTCTGCTTCAAAGCAATGTCTTTTTATGGCCTCCAAGGCCTCCCACTAAAGAGTGTCTTCTAGCACACATGTGACCGGTGTAAAGCATGACAGTAATCCCCATGTGTCCATCACCGCTCCAGGTCAAATTACAGCTCTCTTTATGGGAAGACCTGGACCTGCTCGCTTTGTTTCTAAACATAAGCTAAACATGAAATGGGTCATACAGTGACAAAACGCTAACATTAGTAGCACCGTGTTTCACTTTTGGTTTCAGGATTTGCAGCTTCTTGAGAGTCTGTAGTATTCCATGACGTAATATCAACATAATGTGAGTGTGATCATGTGTGTTCTCCTAGGAACAGGTTGCTTTTCAAGAATAGAAAGCAGAAGGAGAAAAAAAAATTGTGGTCGTGTTGTCTAACTTTACGCTTACCTCGCTGACATAATTGTGCTGTTGTTCATTTTGAGTTGCACCAGCTTGGGCAAGTAGGCACCTGCAAGATGAGAAGATAAACTAATTCTCTCACAATTTCTCTCACTGTCATGTAACAGCGAGGTGATTATTTATCTGGTGTCAAACAAGTCAACTGGTTCAACTCCAAATTCACCTCATCAACGTCAATTAGCTTAAAGGAAGGCTAAGCATGACTCACACGTGCACAGACACTCCTGTGTCATGCCTGCACTTGTGCAATGTAGGATTTTCTGCGAACAAAGGTGGGCATAATGAAGATGTTCCTCCACCGTTATCAGCCCAAGGTTAACACACCTAAGAGGAAATCTAGTGTGGATACGTTATGTGCGTCACAGCTTTGTCTTTATTTGTCTCAACCTAGCTGTGGTTTATGATGGTCTATGTGGTCATTAAGCATCTGTTATGAATCATCATTGTGCATAGTGCAAAAAAATCTTGATGTCAGCCTCTCAGTTTTTAGAATCTGAATGTTAATGCATTGGTGTTACTGAATGTCTGGCCAGGCTTGCTTAAAAAACACTCAATATAAAGAATAAAACCGAACAGTGAGTATTATGAGTACACATACAAACTTGTGTAAGTCGTGATTTACGTTTGTAAATGCCTTGATGTGCTGTTCATCTTACCAAAGTTACCCAGTGTGTTTTCTTGTGTGTCTACGCAGATCTCCAGCGAGGTCACTTGAGACAGGTCCCGAGTTCCACACAGCAATTCCTGTTAGGGACAGAAATTACCAGTACACTAGCTGACCTGTACTGGTATACTGAACTAAATTCTGAATTCCCTGTTCAATATTTACCTTAGACATATACCTGTGAATTTGATGCAGCACATTATGTGAAGCCTGTGATGTGAAATAAGTCTGTCTGCCCACCTGACCTTGATACAACAATCTGTACAGTGTGTGCTGCCTTTTCTGTACTAACTGCTCATGGGCTGTTCATCAGGCATAGGAACGAGCGATACAGAATTATTTAATCAAAAAACACACATAATAATACAGGGAGGATGCATACAGTAGATTTTCTCCACAGACATGTTAGAATTCAGCTACAAAAATGCCTCTCATACGGCTGTAAAATACACTAAAATAAAAATAACATAGAGATCTAATTAAGGATATCCTATTATACACATGACCAAATGAATCAGACAGAGACTGGTTGTATCAGTTGGATGTACACTTACTGTATCCTTTACTATTTCTGCAAACTTACCAGCTTCTCTGGAGTGAGGTAAAGCCCCACTGCTGTGTCAGAGTCCTCACAGGGTTTCGTGGCAGGAGTTGGGTTGATTTGGCCTGATTTACTACACTCAATCACTTGGACCCGTGCTGTGCCAGGCCGGACCTCCTCCTGGGACACAGACCCATGACAGCAACTCATCACTGACGGCTACCTGAAAATGCAATGAACAATGTGGAAGAGTCGCACCAACATGCTTTAATGGCTTTCTAACGAAAATGTATCTATATCTAGCCTAACTAGCGTTAAATAAGCTAACAAACTAGCTTTAACTGTTAACATTAGCTAAATGTTGTCAAAATGCGGGGGGGGGGGGGTAAATTAACTAATATTACTCTCTAACCTTCCAACGACATGTACTTTTAACGGAATATAATTGTTTTGTGTTATACAATATATATTTACCTGTTGCAGGCAGTTGCAGTCTAAAACGATGTATACATTTCACAGACTAAGAGCACTTTGCTTACAAGCAAAAGTTTGCTTGACAACCATAGACCACTTCCTGGATACGAACCCCGTGGCCCCCTGGGATATGTAGTGCGCTGTTAACAGTTGGCGCCTCAGTGAAACTCCTGAGGTTAATACTTACCCATTAGTTTCCTATATTGCTGCTATAATCAGAGATTAATTTGTAAGCCTCTGATTTTACTACCAAAACCTTAACCCGCTTACGACACTGGTCTGGTGTTGCCTTCAAATGCTCGTTGTAAACTCTGCATTTGGAAATGTGAGCTTTAAATTGAATGAGGTCTTAATTCAAACGATTTAGAAATGCATCTGTTCTTTCTACACGCATATTTTTTCGTTGATGGTTGTGTTTATCTAAATTAAACACCATTTTGTATAGAGCTACTGTCTGTTGCAGTTTCAGAATAAAAAGGAGCCATACAGGCATAACCTAATTCATGTTTTCTTCTAATGTGATGAAAATAGAGATAATATCAGAGAAAAAATGGACACACATTGTATAATCTGGTCAATTATGTAACTGCTCCTCAAGCCCTAGCTATCATGGAGGACACTGAGGCCATGACCTTTGCACCCTAATACAGTAGTTCTCAACCAGGGCTCCTTGAGGGACTCCCAGGGGTCCTTAGGGGAGTGCCTGGGTCTCAGAAAAATGGGGAATCATTTATTTTCACTTTTTGATTCACTAGAAAAATGAGCTCAATGTGAGTAATGGTGGAAAGAATGACTACTGTGATCACATATTTAACTTCCTCAATGACTGATTTCACAACTGTACTTGACAACTACAGAATTAATCATATTTAACAACCAAAACCTTTTCAGGCTGAGGTCCCTGAGGTAAATTCTTACCAATCTGGGATCTGTGACCTAATTTGTATCAATTTAGGGGTCCTTGCCATGAAAAAGGTTGAGAACTACTGGTCTTATATCCTCCTCAGACCCTGCATTCTCATATGACGACATCACCTTTTGGGTTAACTTGACCTTATACTTCATTCTACTTGACTTAGACTTGTTGTCCTCACTCATGGATGCTTTTTTGTGTCTTGATAGCAAGACCACAATACACTAATCCATGGTAAAAACAAGATGGCAGCCATCTCTGCCAAGTCAGTCTGCAGCTGATCCCAACACAAAAGAGGACAAGGTCCAAAACCTGATCAGATTTTATGGATGAAACTTGTTGATTTATGCTTAATAATGTTTGTAGTTTCATATGGCAACTGATTTGACCAACTTTAGCAACAGTAACAAGCTAAGACACTGGTAAATAGTGAATACTTGTTGGAAGACATTTGGACTTTATTGTTGTCTCATATGAGGACATTGGGACTTTATTAACTTTGACAGTGTTGAGCTTTTAATATTTATCAGGTCCTACTGATCCCAAAAAGCTAGGAGAAATTAAAAATGCATACCAAACAAAAGTTAAGGTCTCAGGGCGGATATCTGTGAATTTTGGGGATTTTGATAACAGTTTACATTTTATGATTTCACACATATAACTTTTAATGCTTTGTACTCGTACTCGTCGTACTCGTACTCGTATCTTAGAGTCTGACTGTCCTTAGACGAAAAATGAATTAATGAAAATCTCAACAATTTGATTCTTGCTCAAAATGTTTTCACAAAAATAAAATGACACATCTGTAGTGTATCCAGAAGCATTTCTGAGCCAAAATCCTGAGTAGAAAAACTGAGAATTTAGAGATTAAATCCTCACTCAATTCAGTTATGTCAATTTGAACAACTGGGAAAAGTTTTCACAAAGTCTTCCCTATATAGAGGAGGTTTAGGGCCAAAATTTACTAAAGAAAAACAATGAAATTAAGGATTAAGGTCTACAAATTCCAACTTTCAACACTTAGACATTCAGTTTAGCTCAGCATTTCTCTTTAATGTGATCTTAGATTATTTTCAATCTTCAATGTTCTTTAGATTCTTTAAAGCTCAGACCATTTTACAGATTCTGTTTGGTGGTTAGTGTTCAGGTGGGTGGGGTTGCACTGGGGAAGTGGACACATTACCTCAGTATTTTTTAAATCATGACTACTGTTATAGCCAAATAATAAAACAGGCCCTCATACCTACATTCAAATATTTGCAGGGATTCCTTGTCTGTCGCGTTTAAGTGACAATCTAAAAACTTGGATTCTGTGGTGAATACAGGCAGTCAGATGTTCTATACGGTGTTCTATAAGGCGAGGTCTCCTTGTTTCCGACGGTCCATGAACGCATCAGTAACATGCATGGTAACCGGGGCGGTTCTATGTTTGATAGAGCTGGGCGTGGGCTCGACACTCCTCATCCCCTCTGCTCTCTGTGGAAGCACATTGTTCAACGCGGGCTCATTTTACCCAGAACCAATGAATGCATTGGTGCATTTTAGCCACTGAAAATTAAACACTTTATCGGAACACAATACGGTGCAGATATCCGAAGACGGCGGGAAGCGGACCAAGAACATTTTGTTTCCTAGTGCTTACAGCTGAGAGGCAACAGAGTTGAAAGATTTTTCTTCTTCTTCTCCGGCAGACGAAACGTCGCTCTTGTCGCTAATTAGACCTCTGCTTGTTGTAAGTATGCACTGCACATTCCTGTGTCCGAAATATGTCGGCAGTGACTGTTTTTTGTCTAATGGTTACCGCTTTCAAACGCTTTCAGTGGTTTTTGGGGGGGCACCGCTGGAGATTGCGGTCCACTGTTAAAACATGTTAGCTAGCTATCATAACATTTGAATTCACGCCCGGCGAGCTTTATATGTCGAGCTCAACAACTCACGCTTGCTTTGTAGTCTTGGCTACATGTATGGGGAATTACACAGGATATGAATTTAACCTACACCTCAGCTTTTTAAAATCTATTTAGACAAACAGTGTCTGTGCAGTTGGGGTGTTGTAACGTTAACTTGGCCATGGAGGAATAACATTACCTCGCCGTGGGTTTCCCCATCTTCTCACTTTAAAATAGAAACCGAATGCGTTCATATGAATACAGCAACACTGGGGATTTTACTTTCTGTATTTTTGTCCAGTGTACAGACATTGTTGAGTGTGAGGCTGCTACTGCTGCCGATAGTGGCCACACAGACAAGTAACGTTAGGGTGACGCCCCGTCACACTGAGTAAAAACCTGAATGTATCACTGCGGAAGTTAGATTCCATTACAAGGCATTTAGAAAGCTGACATCGGATTATTTCTTCTCTGGAAGCTGCCAAACTGTGTAGCAAGTTTAAAAAGGTAGAAGATGGCAGAGACAGCACTAATTTTTAATTGGCTATCACTCAGATTATTGCTAAAGGGGTTGTTGGACTGATGCAAAAACAATCCAGCCATCCCAAAGTGAGGTAAATCTGTGGCAGAATTCACTGTAGTCATCATGTAAAGTAGAGCTAACATTTAAGTTAGAAACAAATCAAAACGTGTTTAAGTTATTGTTGTGTTTTTGGCATATGATTGTGACTGACAGCTGTTCACATCTCATCTTTCTATCCACCACATCACTACTTAAAGGTAACAATAGTTGGTTGGAGTACATTGGACAGCATGGGCTCCATTAAAGAGGTCCAGTGTCAGGCGGGTGAATTTGACATCAGCCTCTGTAGCGTTCAGAGTGAAGGCAAGAATTCAGGCAGCTGGAAAACAGCTGGAGGTAGTCCAGCCAGTGATAGAGGTGTGATGTTAATCTCTTGTCCCTTTCTCTGAACAGCTGTAGCCTGGGTGGTGCCCAGCTGCATGCCAAAATAAGTGTGATTCTTCTGGATACCAGGAATTCACAGATTCCAAATTTTCACATTCATTTCACTCACTTGGCGGGTTTTAATTTGTTTAATGTGACAGCTTGAGGCTGAGAAATCGCTCAGGGTATGCTCTTAGGTATACTCTACTTTGTTGTTTTCTTTTAGTGAGTGAGCATGATTGTGAATACAGTACATTTCAGATTTCATGTGTAACACAGATTTCATGATTCACTCCTGTTTGAGTCACTCATCCACAAATACTAATGCAGTCATATACAGTTGTCATCACATGGGATGTTGAATCCTCACCCAGAAGGGGTGTTTTATATATCAATCACTGTCATACTCCTGACGTGATGTTGTTGACACTAAGTCTTTAGGTTAGGGAGGTTAATTATTTTTTCTTTGGTTAACTGACCCAACTTTTGGTTGGATCTCCTACAGGTTGACCGGCAGCTGTGTGACCCACAATAGTGTTGTCACACGCACTCACAAACTAAAACAACTGGACAAAATTCCTCTGATTGCGCAAAAAAAAAAAAAAAAGACCACTGATGAGTTTCGGGGTGTTTGGTGTCTGATGATAAGCCCCATGGCTCCTCTAACTGGCAGGCCTTTGTGTGGAGGTCAGCTGGCCTTTTCATCTCTGCTGCTGCCTCCACCGTCTCACCCTACCCGACAAGCTGAAAGGATGACCCAGTGGGGAAAAGGTCACTTGTACTCTAGTGCCTTTAAGAGCAGCTTGTTTAAGCATGCATGCAGATACACACACACAGAGATGCACGCAGCAACTCTTAATATAAATGTTTGTAAGGGAGAAAATGTGGGGAGGAGGAATTGTTTATTAAAGGATTTGCTCTCAAGATTCTCTTTGAGCAAAATCATAGTTTCATTCATGTTTCAGTGTTTTTTCTGACTTCCTGCCCCAGAGGAGGACTTAAATGGATAGTGCTGCTTTAATAGTGGAACATCTAGAGTTTATAGACTTTGCAAGAATTGCATTAAGTCCTCACGTACTTGTTTCATTGGCCTCAGACAGCAGAGTAGTGATTCCTCAGCTGCCGGTCAACACTAATGTTTGGATGCTGTTTAGGAGGATGATGTCACTGGAGAGCAGTGGGAGGGTGCGGTGGGCTATCGGGGCTCCAGGATGGGTCTTGGAGCCTCAGTATTCGACCGTGATACCTCCCTAGAGAGGGTCTCCTTACCATCATCGCTCCATTAAAAATCTATTATCTCTGCAGTGGGCTTGTGGCTCTGCAAGTATGGATCCTTTAACCAATTAAGAACTTTAATGGAGAGCAGGATGCATGTTGAGGAGGATGGCCATTCATGTGCCCTCCTTCTTGCATCATGTGTTTTGAAGTGATGGAGTTGTTTTCCAGGTTATAGGACAAAGTAAAGACATGTTTATTGGCTGTAGTTATCAGAGCTATGCAGCTGAATTAGTTGAGGGGAAATGCTTGAGTATGTTGAGCATTTTCATTATTGATTTTCTTATACATTTTTCGGTTTCCAGGTCGACCCCTCCCTCCTTTGGTTTTCTGTGCCCTTGGCATATAGTAAGAGCAGCCCTCTCCCTCCCTCCGTCGCCCTCAGACACTCTCCTCCCATCACCCCTCTTGCTGCTCTGTACTCGCACCCTCCGTAAGCTGTCATGTAAGATTATCCTCCTGGTCCAGGCGGGGCTCTTGGGTTTCAAAACGAACTGTTAATTTCCCAGGCTGGAGGTGGCGAGCTATAAATAACCCTAAACACAGACATACTGTATGGTGCTCCTTGATCAAAAGGGGAACAGCTTTGAGAAGGTTTCGGGGACTGTGGAATTGAATAGATCAGCGACTTGTAGACGAAACTGCAGCTATAGCCTGTCTCAGAGTCATGTATTTGACAGTGGTAGCAGGAGGCTTGCTCTGTTCATCTTTGCTGTAGGATTATTCGTTTGTCAGATATGAAGTGGCACATTGCGTGTCCTCATCGTTGCTGTACGTATGTTTTTACAGGTGTACTTGTGCATGTGCAAATGTGGCCAACTGTCGCACGTCTGGGGGCAGTTAAGGATTTTGCAGGTTAACCATGCACTGACAGTAATTACTGTATAGTATGAACATCTGAACTGCAGAGAAGGACATGACACCGCTATAAGGGCAGGACAGCCATCTGTGTGTACAAAACCAAAAAAAAAGCATAAATGAAAAGTTCTTGTGCTTCATCCCCATGTGTGGATGAATTATGTAAAAAAGATTGATGCGTTCGCTGATAATTATTATCTCCAGCTGCTGTGTCCTCGTCCCTCCTCTCTATGGCCTCAAATACCAGCTCTGAGCCCCCCACTGACAACAAGTGGCTCAGAGAAAGCCACAGCATCACTATCAATGATTAATTTTTGCCATTCATCTCCATATGTATGTGTGGATTATTAATCAGCTGCTGACTTGGCCTAGTTTGTGAGAAGATGGCACGGCTGTCTGTTTTCCTTCCTCCAGTCTCCCGGTAGCGGGCGCGGGTGTGTTGAATTAGCATTTTAGGCTGTAAATTTTCAATTGTTTGGCAGGTGTACACTCGAGATCTGGTTATGTGGAAGAAACGTGGCAACCAAGCGTGTCAGAATCTGGAGAGATGTGGATGTGTGAGAGAGTGCTGGTGTCAATCTCTTTTTGTTTTTATTTGTGTGTGTGTGTCCTATATTTTCCATCTTAACTGCTTATCAGTTCAATTCGGTGCACTTATTCAGCATGAAAGTTCATAAAAAATATAGAAAAGGTTTCTATTGAGTTAAGTTTAGATCTGTATTGGTGATTAAAAGGCGTATATCATCATGAGCATTGCCTTGACATAGTAGTGAAGCAGGCATTGAGCTTAAATGTATGAGTAAAGTTTGGGTTAGGCATGTACGCTGGAAGGGTTGGGAAAATCTGATTAACCAGTAACCTAATTATTACGTTTGTTGTACAGATTTATCTCCAATTTTTTTGTAATCCATGCTAGTGTTAAAGCCATCACTTGATTGAATAGTTAAGTTAGTGACAGAAGAGTAATCAGCATTCATTTTGATATTTTAAAATTGTAAATGCCATTTGTCATTTTATATTTTTGAAGCTGATACCGATATTTCAGAGTTTTAAAAAATTCTGGTAGCAATATATCCGATTATTGAACATAAACATTTAAACTCTTAGACGCTGTCTGATAATTACGAAACAATTTCTAAATTACCTCAATCTTTGACATTTCTGTACTCTCATTTCTTGTATTTTTAATCATCTGAAATATCCACCAATCCTGATGTGTCTGTGCCAATATTAATCAGTAATGAACACAATCATTGAATCTAGTAATGTCAAAAATAGTCAATTTAAAGATGCATATCAATACTGAATATTTTAAACAGTTTCAATAGTCATTTTCTGTAGTATTGATACACAGGTACCAGCTGCACTTTTTGCTCTCTCCTCATGTTAATGCATACCACAGTCATTCTGCTGTTCTCTGCTACTAACTAAGAAAAAAATAGTCGTCGTTATGATGTTTGAATCCTATGCCCTCTATGGTACTTTTCCCCATAATATCGAAAATGGTATCGGCTGGTTTTCAAGGTATTGTATTGGAGAGAGAGATTCCAGTATCATGACAGCACTAGTTGCAGCCATGATGGCACACCCATCGTCTCCTGAAAATCCTTCTCTTTTCCCAATGACCAGTCTATGATTTAACATTTAATTTTGTGTCCATGCTCTTTCCATCACATTAACCCAGCCCCGATGTGAATCCTTGCCCTGTCTCGAGCTGGTAGCCAAAGGTGTTCCGGCGTCTGTCTGCCCCTGCACAAGTCTCTCCACACAGCTGCTGTTTATTTGGTTAAAGGAGGCTGCGAGGAGTGAGGCTGGCTCTGCTGCGGCTCTGCCACAGTCTCTGTACTCCAGCCAGGGCGGGCTGCACTGTGTACCAGGTTGATTTATTTACAGTGAGGGAAAAAGGAAGCTAAATGTTTGGCCGCAAGATTGAGGGGTCAGGATAATTCCCTTCCTGTTGTGCTTGAGAATTATAGCAGCGAGGGTGTTTTTACAAGGAGGCCATTGTTGATATTGGTGACGGTGTTCAGAGCTACCTGTTCCATTAAGGTGAGCAATGGCTTATGGCGTCGAGGATGCTTTGCAAGAACAGTGTGTGTGTGTCTGTGTGATTGAATGAGAGCGGCTAAATGGCCGTGTCTTAAGTTAGCAAGTCTGCTTTCCTGTCAATCATTAACATCAGTGAGCCAGTCGTAGTCTAAGCTAATGTTAGTCTGCCCCCTCATCAGCACAACAACACACATCTCAGACACAAATAAGTTTCTCACAGATGTGCACGCAGATTTCACTAATACACCACCACCCTAAGAGACAAATATAGGTGCATGTCATTACTCTTCACTCCACATGACTGCATTGCCTCAATACGTGTAGTTTTCTTTCAATGCTTTGCATGTTGTCGTTTCATTCAACTGTCCAAAGGATGCATTCATGTCACGAGTTACCGCTCTCTTATTCTACAAGATTCTCCCCAGCTGTGTGTGTGTGTGTGCTCCCTTGGGAGATAAAGCACAAGAGAGAGGGTGTGTATGTGTTCTGCTCAGGCTGGCTAACGCGCCAATGTTCACTTCTCTGTAGTGAGCAAGGACTCAGGAGTTTGCCTAACAGAGCTACACGGAGTGCATTTTATGTTAGGGATGACAGTCAGTGCCCTGCAGAAGGTAAAACAGCATATGTGACCCGTGGTGCTCATGAAATCCTGACAGATTGATAACACACTCTAACAGGTGGTGCAGGTTAGTGATTTTCTTCTTGAGCTCACTTAAGGAACATTCAGCAAAGTGAGACACTGTCGATGAACAGGCCGAGATGTTTAACCATGCGTGACCTTATTTTACTCTGAACTGCTACAACTGAATACGAGATATGTGACAGACTACTTTTGAGGAACAGAAATTTAAGGCGGCTATGGGTGTTAGGGTGATGCAGATGTAGATAAGGGTGTCTAACAAGGTATAGCATGATTTGAATGTCATCACTGTAAGTTGAGTTTGAAAGTGGCATTGACTTTTTAATTAAATTCAAAGTATAAAAGCGTAAAAATGTCTGAAGTTGAATTTTTGGCCAAACAGAAAGTGAAACTATCTATTCTGAGGCATACAGGAATCCCAGTGATTTTCCTCTGGGCTCTGATATCAGAGATGACATCGCTGTGATGGCATCACCTGACCACTCATTGTTGTCTGCGTGATGTCAAACCATCACTGTAACCACGAGAGGCTCCTGCGGTTGCCATGGGCCTCCAGCAGACTTAACCTGTGGTTAGCATAGGTTTGGCCACACTAGCCCTAGCTTGTACTGCATTTAATCTGTCAGAATCTCCATGAGAGCTTCATGTCTTACTTGCTCTGACTTATCGTGTGCCAGCATGTCTGCCACAGGGCTGGCATCAGGTCATTTTCAGGTCATAAATTTGGTAAGTTTGTGGTAAATTTGCAACAAGCTGAGTCATGCTTTGCCCCTGTATGTAATGGAAACGCCCATATGACTACTTTTGCTACCCACTGACTCAACATGCCTGGAATTTTACTGGCCAGCGGTGTTGTAAGGGTGGTGGTGATGACAGGGCATGGACATACATGCATGGTTCCAGCTAACTCGATAGTTGAAATTGTGATAGTATAATTGGCATTTTCTGCCAGTTTCCACACACCTGATCTTTCTGGTGAAATCTGGGAAAGTTGTTCTTCATTGCTAGCCTCCTCCTGTAAAGATGAAGGTGTTACCCATCCTCTTGACAACATCTCAGTCCGAGTTATAGAAAATAGTCATCACAACTAAATTATTTCAAAACCTGCTTTCAGTAAATGGTTTCTTAGATATTTAGCACTGTGAGGTGAAAGGTGAAAACTTGCTTTTAACATTGTTTTTTGGATGATTAAGCAAAATTTTGCACCTCTTTCCAAGTCTGAATTCTACTTTAAATTTCACCTGTTGATGCTGGAAGTGCTTCACTTTCCTTATTCTGCTTCCAGATACCATCCATAGGTCCATAAATTCAAGTAAAGCTAATGTTTGCCTGCGTTGTGTAAGTTTAGCCAACAGAATATGGATATCACTTATGTTTTCTCAAGAGGCCGACATGTTTCTTTAATAACATGCCTTGATTTATAGTCAGGGCGGCCCTGTTACATCGACTAGACCTCTTAAGTGGGTCCATAGGGGACAACTGCAGGCACACCTGGAGTCATAAAATCCTCTTTTAGGCCTCTCGTTCTGTTGCTATGGATTGATCCCGATGGTGAAGCAAGGCAAACCAACAAACAGCTCAAAGCATTAGCTTAGCTTTGTTAGCAATAGTGAATACTGACTATTGAAAGGCAGACTGGTGCTGATCCTTTTGAAAGACACATTTTACTCTTTGAAATCGTTTCATTCACTGTGTTTCTGTCACTGCTCTATTTTTGTGTTTTTAAAAAATTTGATATTCCTGGCGTCTGTCACCTTGGGTTCAAAGTTAGACATCAGTAATGTGAAGCCTCAGTGATGAGGACCAGTCTGCCAGTGTCATGCCCCCTTCTTTCTCTCCCCTCGCTGCCTCTGTAGCTCTCCCTCTCGTGCACACTCTCTGCTGCTCACACTGAGCGGGAGAGCATTGGAACATTGAGTACCTTCAGCACATTTTTCACATTCCCCTTTGAGGGTCTCAACCTCAGCCCCCACTACACACACACAGACAGACACACTGCAAAACACACACGCACAAAAAAACCACTAATGTTTCTCACCACTGGGCAGCAATAGTTGAGGACCACATCATGACAGTCCAGTGGCAGAAATTATCCTGCAAAGGCTCTGTGTGTGCCTGTTTTCTGCTGATGTCTCTAGTCAGACTGCTAACCTGCACCTTTCTGTCTCCCTTTCTTCTCTCCAGCAGCGGTGTGTGTGGTGAGCAACAGCGGCAAAGATGACGGAGTACAAGCTGGTGGTGGTGGGAGCTGGAGGCGTGGGCAAGAGTGCACTCACCATTCAGCTCATCCAGAACCACTTTGTGGATGAATATGACCCCACCATAGAGGTATGACTCTTCTGCATGTTCTGCAAATTATCCTCGTGGGAGGCTTCTTGGGTGTTGGGGTGGGAAGGTAGACAGGGGATGATTGGATTGTTAAAAAAATAAAGCATTTCCAGCTCTCCCTTGAATTGTTGTGTGGTTATACACTACTTTTACACCTATGTGGGAGACATGCTTGCTTTAATCTGTGTTTTATACACATGTCCAGTTCCTCAGTCACTGCTGAGCAATATTGCCTGGACCCTACTGCGACGACAGCTCACTCTAAATCAAGCTAATTCAATTAGGTTAATTTAATTAAATTAATCGAATGTCTGTGGCGATTCTTCAACTGATCAGGCCTGATAGAAATTCCTAAATTTCTTTTTAGGATAAATATTTCTTCTGACATTCTGTAATTCTTATATTTTCCTGAAAACAAGATGCTGGAAAAAGATTGCAGACATTGCAAAGAGGCCAGTGAGAATGTTTTCTCCTCTCTTTTTTCCCTCTCCACACTCTCCCTCTCTTTCTCACCACGCCTGCCTCTGGCCAGACAATGTCCTTTTTGTGTATTTGCATTCCTGGCCCCTATGCTCTAACAAACAAAGGGACGGCACTCCATGTTTTTGTGGCTGCGTGTTGGAAGGCTAAACATTGGCTCCAGTACCCTGGTCCTCTGATCTCTAGATGTGCGTTTGACCTGGAAGTGGACGGAGAATTGGTAACGGATACCAGTCATACCCGTATCCGTATGAACATGCACCTAAACCATAGATCTGTTTTGCATTTCCACTGTAGACAGTACTCTTAAATGTAGGCGGGGTTGTTACCAGATGGTAAGCTCTTAACTGTATTTGCTCTTAACCAATGATGCGGGGGAACCTCTGCACCTCGTTGACCATCAACAGATGGGGTTGTGCAACAATTTCACAACAAAATAGAACAGACTGAAGTCTTCAGAGTTTCCTTCACAGTCGATGGGATGTATTAAAAATAGTGTGCTTATGCTTTGTGCATCGATTCCTTGGTAGGCAAGAGTGTTAAATCTCTATTTGTTGACCAGTCAACGGACTGCTGTGTTTGTAGATCCACCTTTTAGTATCGGATCAGTGCGCTTGGTAATGACATCCACATTATTTGGCAGTGGGAACACAAAAATAAGTCTTCTAATGTGTGATGAACTGAACTGAACCAGACTGCTTGGTGGAACTGAGGCTTTTGTATATGGACATGCTACTTAGCACTGAGTGGCCAAGGATGTAACAACCTCAGTGAGCTGCATTTGCCTCAGATTCCACCTGAACCATCTGTTTTGTGTCTGACTTTTGTTACAGGTCTCTCACTCACATATTTTTACCTCCTCTCTAAATGTTGGCCTCTCTCCCTTCTTTTTCTGCAGGACTCGTACAGGAAACAGGTCGTGATTGATGGGGAGACCTGCCTGCTAGACATCCTGGACACTGCAGGTCAAGAGGAGTACAGCGCCATGAGGGATCAGTACATGAGGACAGGAGAGGGTTTCCTCTGTGTCTTCGCCATCAATAACACTAAGTCTTTCGAGGACATTCACCAGTACAGGTGTGTGTGTATCAGTGAGGCAGAGGACGAGGGTTTGGGTTTAGGGATGCAGGTGCATCACAGATCATGACATTGAGCATCATGAGATCTGTCGTCGCAGATATGAACACAAGTATTTGCTGGTGGGATCACAGACAGGTCGGGGTGGAGTTCAGACACAAAATCACCCCTGTTAGTTCTAAGGTTCTGCATGTGTGTGTTTGTAAATGCAGTGTGCATTTGCAGGGACTCCCACGGGGTCTGGATAGAGAGGGGTGTGTATACGTATGTGTGCCAGCTCTCTGCAGTAGTTGGGTGATGTCATGCTGTAGCGTTTAACACGGCTAAAGAAAGCTTAGCCCCCAACTGGAGGATTACAGCACGATGCCAATGAAATCGATCCTGACTCAATTAGAGGAGCGGGGAGAGGTAGCACTTTCAAGGACAGGGAAGGAGACAGATAGGGAGGGAGGAGGGAGGGAGAGATTCAGCTGGAGATGACAGTGTTCTCTCTCTTTGCCACATTTTGTCTTTCTCATCACATTAGACACCCACTTGCCAGTTGTGTGCATGTGGCAAGTAAAAGAGGCTGCGTATTTACTTTGCCACGTCCTCTACAGATATGAAGGATTTTTTTTTTTGAGTTTCTTACATTTATTTGGCTTGCTGCCATTGCAACCCAGCCTTTTTTGTGCTTTGCTTTAACACAACTGGTAGTATCACTGTAAAAGCATTACGCAACTTGAGAAAGCACACATGGGTCTTTGGTTGGATGCTGGAATAGGTGGCAGCCCGGCTAGAGCTCTTGATTTATTTTAAGATCTGTTTTGTGTTTTACTGGCAAAAATAGTCAGAGGGATTTTAGCAAAACTTCTGCTCTGCTGTTGGCACATGCTGGCAAGGTACCTGCGTAGAACTGAGCAGTGCATCTTGATTTTTTTCTTGAATGTGAACCAGCCAGCATTATTTCATCAAATGCACCAAATATCTTCTTTTTTAACATTCTTAATGACCTGCCTCACCAGCATATAACTAGGCAATGGTCTAAACGGGGCAACATGTCTGCTGTGACATCAGGACTCAGAGCAGCTGTGGTCATGAACACCATCAGCAGTGTTGACTGCAGATGGGCAGAGCTGACTGTAGCAGACGCATCCTGCTGTACTGTAGCTTAGGGAGAAGAAGGGCTGAGCTGATAGATTGATCTGACCCACTCCTCTCACTCAGTTCCCCCTGGCTGCCTGGCGTTTGGCGCTGGCTGCTGTAGTGATGAGGTAATGCTGTTCGCTGCCTGCCTGTTGTCCATCCCTCCCTCCCCCTCCCTCCCTTCCTCTCCACATCCCTCCTTCAGCAGTGCAGCACAGCCCAGCACCGGCGGGCCCCGGCTCTTCCTCAGGGTCCTAGAGCTCCCTGGGTGGTTGGCTCTCCAGTGGTGGAGCTGCTGTTGTTTATGAAGCAGGGAGGATCCCAGACGAGAGACATGTCACTGTGACAAAACGCAGTGTTGGGCCAGGTTAAGGAAACAGACAAAAGTTTTGCAATTAAACAGCAATTTCTCTTTTTCTGCAATTCACAGAGAACAGATTAAACGTGTAAAGGACTCAGACGATGTTCCCATGGTGCTTGTGGGCAACAAATGTGACCTCCCGGCACGCACGGTGGACACAAGGCAAGCCCAGGAACTTGCCCGCTCCTATGGTATCCCTTACATCGAGACCTCTGCCAAAACACGACAGGTAGGTAGTGAACAAGAAGCACACACCCACAGTCTCTCCCTCTATCTCTGGTATTTAAAATTACCTTTAAATTTTGCTGATATTTTCATTTTTCCTCCCATCTTTTCAAGCCACAAAACACAGATTCTTTATAAATCTGAAGTCCCCTCTGTATCGCATCATGCTATAAACAAGTCATGACAGTGGGCTCCAGTATGGGCTCTGTGATTTTACATGTGAATTCAAGCACATGAAGAGCAGTGAATGGCCCGCGGTGTGATGTGATTTGTGTTGCTGGAAACATTTTATTATGCTGCAGGCAATGACTCATAGCCAGGTTACCTTGGCTTGAGAACAGTGCTACAGTATATGAGAGGCTTCGTAAGGACAAGTCGCAGCACAGCTCCCACTGTCTCTGACTCACTGTCACACATTATGAAGGTACATACAGATTCTCGCATTCATCCCTGAACTCGCAGAAAGTCTGTCATTCAAACAGAGCAGCATGCAAAGAACCAAGAGACGACTTCTTTCTAGACATTATGAATTCTCGATTAATGGCATCTGAAACATCAGGGTTGCCATGGTGATGTTGCCAGGCCCTTTCACTGGCGACTACACCTGAGAGGTTTGCTGTCAGTTGTAGAGAGTGCATGCAGTGAACTCCACTTGTGATTGACCATTGTGTGAGTCCAGATCTTTCTGTAACCTTTCTGTGTGCTTACAGGGAGTGGAGGACGCCTTCTACACACTGGTTAGGGAGATCAGACAGCATAAGCTTAGGAAGCTGAACCCACCGGATGAAAGTGGTCAAGACTGTATGAGCTGTCGCTGTGTGGTATCGTGATGCAGGTGAGACACAGAAATTTCTCTCTCTTTGATAGCTATATAGTTACATGGGAAGTCTCAAAAAAAACAATTTTTTTTTTAATAAAAAAATAAGGCCTTAGTTGACATTTAAGTGTCTTAACCTTTTTAAAATCTGGAGTCACATCACTTGTGTTGCTTTCTGATGCCTATAGCAAGTACTTAAACCTTTGAACCTTGAGGAAATTGGTGTGATATCTTTTATAAACATTGTACCATGAGCAACATAGTAAGAAATGTCCCACAGATTGCAAAAAAATAAAAAGAAATAAATAGGGTAAAAAAGCTACAAAAACTACAGTGGATTTATAATTATTATATATAGAATTCTTATAATTTTTAAGCACCTTTTCCAAGTCATTTCCCTGTTTGTTTTTATCTGTTCTTAGCTTTTTTCTTTTTTTTTTTTCTTTTTTTTTTTTAATTTTCTCTTTCACACCAATTTCTTGCTAATTTTTTGGCTCATTTCTTCTTTCATTGCTCATTGCCTTCTCCCCACATTTTTAAAAGAAGCCAATTTGCGTAGGTGCCAAAGGGTTAAATCAATCCTTGAAAAGTTTTTAAAATGCTAAGACATAGAAAGTAGGATTTTATTAATCTTTTTATTCTGACTTTGCATAGGAAAATCTCAAAATAATTAGTACCGTCAATTTTTTTAATTTATTTGTAACAAATTTTTTGAATGTCTCTCACATGAACGTCATGCAGATCAGGACAGCGTAACCAGCAGCACTCATTTTGTTTCCGGCTGGAATAGCTATCATTGTACCTTGGATGACATGGGGAAGTTTAAATTCAATGCAAATTAGCTGTTTCACCAAGATTTCATGACATGGCTAAAACTGGAACAAGGCAATCCAGTTGCAGTTTTTCAAACTCGGCACAATGACGAAATCCAGGCAGTGGTTTTCTACATGCAGAATGAGAAACATAAAATTAGCCCCTTTTCCACTGCAGGAATTTTTTTCATTTGCCTGGGATTTTGAAAAACCTCAGCGCATTTCCACCGAAACTACCCAGTGAAAAAACTTTCTCTCAACCCCAAACTTTCCCTGAAAAAAGTACCTAGTAGATTACGCGGAATTCTTGAGGGGCGGGGCGGGGCTGTGTGCTGAAGAACGCTGATTGGTGCTCTCGCACTTGCAGCGTTCCGCACTTCCTGGCATGGACAGCTGCTGCAAACTTTATTTCATTTCTACAAGCTTCACTTTGTTTGTGTCGCTGAACTCCTCCACACACATCCACATCCACACACACACACACACACACATACACAAAACACGATGCAGTAATCACGCTAAATCTAAGATATTTTCTTTGAGGTGGGGTGGAAATGCAAACCACACAGATTAGCAGGAATTATCTTACCCAGGTAAATAAATTCCTGGAAATAAAAGTTCCTGGAAATGTTGGTGGAAAAAGGGCTATAGCCAAGAAAATGTGCCAACCAGCACCAGGTGTTTCTCGGTCCTGTTCTACATGACGTCTGTTTATGTTGTTTTTCTTCAGTTTTGATAAAATTGGTCTTAATTTCCATTCCGAGTGGCAGTAAAAAAAAGTTTTAAATCTACCTTGTCTTAAGCTACATAAACCCTGTGTGCTGGAACTTGTATGGCTTTTATGTGTATCACTGTCTGTTGTAGGTGTAGCCACATCTTGCTCAGTTTAACTTCTCACTATGTCTCAGTTTCCCCAGAAGTATAATATAAAATGGTGCTAACATCTGTCTCCCTCTTGTGTCGTTTGATTCCCCAGCTGACGTTTGCACGTTGAGGAGAAACGCTACAGCGCGTAGTGGCAGCATGGACTTAAAGATAGAACGATAAAAACAACTCAATGATGAAATATAAACTTTTTCAAAAAGAGGATGATTGAAGCAAAAGCTCTCAAGGAAACCACCAGAGCTGACTGAACCATAGACCTTCATGGAAAGGAGGATTTTGGACTGTTGCCCAAGTGGCTACCTGAACTGGCCCGGTCCGGTCCCGTTTTTTTGGTCCACACGTCGACCTGTGAGCAACTCCACTAATGACTCTTTGTCAACTCCAGTGTGGTCTCGCTGGGTAGCTCAACAAAGTTTCCTGCTAACTTATTGTTTTCAGTCTCAACACTGGTCTTAAAGGGGGTGTCTCGGACCCCCTCCCACCTTGAAAGCCTAATTCCACTCCCCCCCGCCTGCCCACTGGAAGGACTGACCGTCTTAAAAAGGAAAGGACTGGAATGGACGTTTAGTTGCCCCAAACACCTCTCACACAAACACCCCCCTCTCCATCTTGCTCTACCTGCCTTTTGGTTTGCCTCGAACGGCTGTGTAGTCCCCTCATCATTACTGGATCCAGGGGGTGGAGGCTGACATGGGAGTGACTTTAATTTGTTGTTGTTTAACAGTTAGCCTCGCTGTACAAAATCCTTTGATTTTGTTTTTGATAATGGAACATTTTATTTGTGATTTGCAGAATCTGAAAGTCACAGAGCAATATGTGAGCAGATCGCACCTGGTTTGACATTTTTCACGGCCTGTAGTTGGAATTCCTTTTGGGATAGAAATGTTGGACGGAGAGTATAAAGATGGGTGAATTTTCCAGAATGCAGCTGCCTTCTCTCTTTACAGGCGTTTTCTTTGCTACAGTAAGAGTTGTCTTTGTGGAATAATAATAGTAATGGCTAGTGTACGTAGGTTCTGGTGCAATAGGATTCTTCACTGTCCAATTTACACAAAGTATTGGGAATAAACCACCTGTCATTGCTACTTGTTTTACTTTGGTTTAGGACGGAGAGGGTGCTGTGCATGACGATGTAGTTGTTGTCTCTCCAGTCGCTGAAGCTGGAGAGGTTGCCTGTAGAATAGGAGGAGAGCCCTGTACTTGTAGAGTTACACAATGACAGGTTATGGTTTTAAACAAAATGACAACCAGTTGATTTCTCTTGCGTTGCATTTCAGTAGCTGTACGCTGTACAACTCTTATTTACGACATGGTGATCACAGCTATTTTCACACCGCAAGAGTCATTCTTTGTGGATTTTAAGGCTCAGGAATCAGGGTCCAGGAACGTCTCACCCGACAGTCCCGGAAACCAGAGTTAAGGATGTCACCGGTTAGCTTTGCAGAGCGTAACGCACAAGTCCTGCCTCAGAGTCGAACTTGAGTTTTTCCACACACACCTCACTATCCTCAAACTGCTCCTCTCTCTCTCTTTCTCTCTGCCACCTCAGCTCTACAATGGAACAATAACAGTTCAGGTGCTAATCACGTCAGAACCATAGTTACTGTATATGTGGGACTATTGTGTGTGACAGGTGATGGATACCGGGTTATGGGAGTGCGTCGCTTTTTGTTTCTTAATACTGTCTCGCTTGTGCTCGCCACAACTTCCATTAATTTGCTGCCTAAAATGAAAAAGACTGCTCCGTGTTTACTTTGCCTTATCTGTTAGCTAGTGTGTATGTACCTCATGTGTGCAGCGAGCTCTACCTGAGATGATTACGTGTTCTGTTGGCTGCATTGTTTTGTTTATGTTTGATTATGTGTGCAACTAAAAAAACAAACATAGAAGTGTGTTGAATTTAGACATGCGCTGTATAGAATTTGAAAGACAAGGCACGCCTCTGAAAACACTACACTGATTTTTTTAAAGGTGTCTGTAATGGCATTTGCATCTGATTGTGATTCTCTAACAGGACGATAAAAAAAAAGACAGTTTTAAGATCCCAGTATGAGCGACGTCTTGTTCTCATGAAGTGTCATTCCTATTACATCGGAACATGTGGTAGTGATTGCTAGAAATTGTTACTTTAAGTCCAAATTATACTTGAACGATTCAGAGAATCGGTCATGTATGATTATGTTCGGAGTTCCACACACTACAGGCAGGTTTTGACAACAAGCTTCAGATGCAAACCTCAAAGACCTCTTCCATGAAAGACGTCAAATGTTATTTTTGCCTTTGTCTCCTCTTGTCAAGGGAAACAAACCCTTTATTTCTGACCTGATTTTGTACAGTAGAAATGACTCTTTTTCACTCATAACATGGCTTAAAGAATCGGTTTAGTTACTGCGTGGATGATAGTGGTCAGTTAAGTGTTCATCTCTCTGCTCGGAGGAAGGATAAGAACTGTGAATGTGTTTGAGTCTTTAGATATTGTCTGAAAGAAGCCTCGTGTTTAAGATTTACATTTAAAATAATGCAGCAGATGATTTTCGGTCCCATTTTGGCTGTGTTGTTGCTAACTTTCATTTTTCACCTATTGTACTCAAACCTTTAAACGTGGGGGAAAAGGAGTGTGGCATTTGTTACCTGTAATTACAGTCCTGATAGTACGCTTGTCCTCTCCCTGTCTTTAAACCGTACATCCATGATTATAATAATAATAATAATACATAGAATTCCACAAATCTGTGCGTTCAAATTCCCGTTTCATTCGATATATCGGCGTCATGTTGCCACAGGGACACTCCAGCCAGCAAAACCACAAGTATACATGTCAGAAAAAAAACCTGGCGAGCATGACAAAGACTGTACGTAACGGACCACTGGGAGTTTTGCACAAGGATACAGTGGGCTCAAGGGCTTGTTTCTCCCTAGCAAACTGTGGATGGAGGTTTGGAAGGAATTTGTGAAAATGTCAACTGTTTAGCTATTTAAGATGTATTTACTCTTTGAAAATGTGGCAAATGTATTGCGGGACAGGAATAAAGATGTCAAGATGAAACTGTGTCTCAATCATTTAACTTTTACATCATGTGTCTCTGAAATTTGGGATTTGCTGCCACCTACAGGCTGCTTTGTGTATCATAATGAGTATGACAAACGGACAGATTTTTACACATATACTAAATAAGTGTTATTCAGCTTGTATAAACACAGCTGAATTTAATATCCTTGACATTTTTTTTTGTTTGTATGCAAGAATCAATTTACAACATTGTGTCAGTTATACAGTGTGGGCAAATACAGCTGTGATGAAGGTTCAAAGGACAGTCATAAATGTGTTTACACATAAGCTTTACCATCAGCAGTGCCATTTACGGAAGGTTTTAGGTGGCACAGGCAGACCTGTTTTCCTGCCAGGAAATTTCATCAAGCATTTCAATGGCCACAGGAAAAAAGATGTCATAATTCTGAATGATTTCTTCGTAGATTTAACTGTTTCTAAAGTTAGTAAGTAACTGATGTCTGATTATTCACTGTAAACAACTGTATTACACAGAAAAGAGGGTGTGCGCGTGTGTCTGTGGTCACTTCCAGCAACTGAAAAGGAAGCAGGAAGTATGCAAGAGATACCGTCTGGTGGGGTGAAAGAAAGCAGCTCAATGAGGCATGGCATCAGAATATTACGTACTTGTAATTTGATTCTTCAATTTTGTACAATACAACATAAATGTTGAATGTAATATCAGATCTGTTAGTTTCAGTGAGACTGGGCTAAATGTGAAGATGTTAAAGAGGAGCCAGTTTGCTGATAAAACTATAGTAAATATGCCTGTTCAAACAGAGCACGAGGAAGGTCTTTGCATTTTATTACTGCTGGTATTGACTTTATTTATATTGCCATGTATGGTAGCCCACACTGAATGGTTTGACAACAGCCACAGATCAACATAATAATCATTATTTTTACAGTAATACATTGTAAATATGACTTAAGTGCTGAATAGATGTAAAAGAGAGTGATTAAGCAAGACAAGTGCACCAAAAAAAAAAAAAATCAGTATGATTTATTGATCCTATTATTGATCCTGATCCAAGAGATGAGACAGCCAAAGCATGAGGTCATGAATTGTCATTATTAATCGTGCTAATATACATATATTGGTTTATTGGGTCGCTGTTTTTCCCATCTTGTTTGTAGAAGCCATGCAGCCTAGTTATTGCTTTTTAGGGCAGATGATTTGCATAGATGTGGGGCTGCTCTGTCACTGGCTTTCAGCAGTCATAAAAGATAGAAGGTTATCCATAAACCCAACACAGAGGAAAAGCCGAGGGTTGGTGAGTGTTTGTGAACGAAAAGAGACGCAGAAGACGTGATATTTTTCTTTCTGGATAAATCATAATCATGCCACATGAGGAAACGATTAAGAAAATGCTGCCTAAGGTAAGAATAATCATCAGTTATTAAAGGAATTCTCTCTAAATCAACATATACTGTGGATTATGTGTATTTTTTTCACTTTTTGTTTCGTATTCTTTTGTTTTGAAGACGTATCTTCGCAAACATGTGGCCAGTGAAATAAGCATGGTGCTGACTCACTTCAAAAACCTTGTGCCCATGATGGATAGATACGGTAATAACTGCTGACAGTCTGTTAATGAACTTATTCAACATGTGCTCGAAATAACATTTATTTATTAATATTCACAGTTTACAACGATGGAGCCACAAAGGACTTGATGAGTCTAACTGGAACCATTCCTGTCATGTATAGTGGTAACAGTGACTTTGCATTTTACACAGTTTGACCCTTTAAACAGCTATATTATTAATAGAAGCTGACTTTGATGTGGATTCTGATCTATTTCAATTAAAATAAGAGAGATTAAGCTTATTATTTCTCAGAATATGCTGGATAAACTAACTTTTTCACATGTTCTGATACAAGACAAGACCTACAACATCCCTGTGTGCCTGTGGATTGAGGAGACCTACCCCCAAACTGCTCCCATCTGCTACGTCACACCTACACGTGAGATGATGATCATCAGTGGGAAGTTCATCTCCAAGAATGGTGAAGTTATGCTGCCGTACCTGGAGGAATGGAATGTGAGAATTTAACATGTATTTTGTATTCTTTAACAATAGCTGACATCGGGGTTATTACTGATGCCATGTTACGTTGATGTGACTTTTTCCTTTCTTTCATCAGGGTGAATGTGACCTAACTGGCCTACTGCAGGTGATGGTTGCCATGTTTGGAGACTTCCCTCCAGTATGTATGCAGCCTCATCCAGAGCCTGAACAAGCTCCTTGTAAGTAAAACTCACAGAGGTAACAAGCAAGCCTCCATGTGGTTTCAAAACAACATCATCTACGCCCTAGATACAAGTTCATGCTGATAAGATAGATCCAAGATTCATGATAGGGTGACACATCAGTTTGAATCTAGGTTCAACGCTCATAAATCTAGGGCTGAAAAGACTTCTCCCTTGTCAACATGTTTATGAACTCTGTGACTGATAAGGACTCCTCTAAAAATGCAATATATTTTCTTGTAGGTTGGCTACAGTTCCAGAGAAATGCAGAGGTGCTTTCAAAGACAGATGGAAGTTTGTATCTGCATATATCCACAGAGGATGGTCTACCTTTTCAGCGAGAACATGAAACCAACTGTTAGTATTTTGTGGGATTAGACAAGGATATTTTACTGTGTGTGTAGTGCCTGTGATGAAGTGGTAATCCTGTATACAGTGTTAGATGGTATCCATTTATTATGTTATGTTACTTTGTTGACAATTTCAGAAAAAATAGCATGTTGCTTTCTATTCTTCAAATGATTTAGAGTGCAAATATCAAGCAGCACCTGATGAAAACACATTGACTGTTGGGTGTGTATGTACTGACGTCATTTTAATATGCTTTTGTAATTTGGCATTTGAATGCCTGTGTGTAAAAGGCTCCCATTGCTTTACAAGTGGCTCATAAAACTGTACCTTGACCTCAACCAAAAGCATTTATTGCGTTCTTATCCACAAATGTTGTGGACTTTTGACCAGTGAACAGAAATGTTGGTAATTTAAAGAACACTCACGCAGCCGGGTGCAGCCCAAAAAACCTGATAACTAAGAACAAAAAGTAAGGAAATTTGTGTTTAGTAGATTATTTCTTTGTTGTAACAATGCTTCTTGGCAAAAAATCTTAGAAAGCCTGTTTATTTCCCTTTTAAATGGTGCCACATTTGTAAGGAACATGCATTTATGGGATGAGCAGCAGAGCTGAGCATGTGGGTTGCGCCCATGAAAAATTTGTCAAATCTTCTCTGCCAATGCCGAACTGCTTTTTTTTTTTTTTTTTTTGCTGATTTTTTTGCTGGATTGGATAATTGAAGTCTGAAGAAACAAGACATATTGACAGTTTAACAATTTATTCATTTAACAAACAGGAGCCTCAGTAGTGCCATAGTAGTGACTTGTTTCGTAAAAAGTTGCAGTGGAAGCGTTAGCTATTAACCTCAACTTTTTACACAGAAAATTAAGTCAAAACTTTCCCCAAGGACAGGACGATGAAGGTCTCTGTAAGTAAAGAGTATGGTCTAGACACTATATGAAAAGTGTCCTGAAATAATTTTTATGATTTTGAGCTATATGAATAAAAACTGGCTTGTTGTATAAAGTAACTGATTGATTCTGGTATTGTAAATAATAAGTAATTGAGGGATACACGTTCAATAGAAAAAAAAAGTTTTATAAAATGACTTAGTAGACTACACTTTAGATTTTGCCCTATATATGATGTGTGATAAAAACTCACCAAATTGGGACCAAGCCTTGGGAACCACACATCTACTGAAATTTAATAGAAATGCTAAAAAACCACAGGCCTTTACATCTATATATTGGTCCTTGGCTTTTTAATGTCTAATATCTTGATCTTTTGTGCATTTCGCCTGTTTTGTTGCTTTTGTTGTTTAAAAAAAATATATGTTTCTCTCTTGAATGCTGTTTATTTTGTATTCGACTGTGTTGTAGTAAAGCCTAATTTCCACCATTATTTACTGAAATAGATACGTCATCTTTCTTTTTTTTTCCTAGTGCTAAAAGGCTATAAATAGATAGATACATGAATAAAAAATAAATAAATAAATAGCTAAACACTGTTGTTAACGTCATAGTCAGACCGGAATCATACAGGCAGACCGGAAGCTGTCAGTGGAATACCGGAAATTCCTTTTGTTGACCATCGGATATTTGTATTTCGCTCCTCCTGAGAACTTGTAATTATCTGTTTGCTGTTCTTACTTAATTTATTGAAGCTCGGCAAGTTAACGACCGTGACATCGCCCTTGTTGGACTGAAGGGTGTCATATAGACACCTAATAATTCGCTTAATAGTTGTCGGGCCCGAGGCTGGGCTAACTTTAGCCTAGCTAGCAATCAGTGAAGTCTTGCTAGCTAGCGTTAGCTTGCGTTAGCTGCCGCTCTAGCTGGCTTGTAAGTCGACCGTTCGCTTACTTAACTTATTAATAAGAACGGTGTAAACAAAAACTCAAAAACAATGGCAGTTGTCAACGAGGGTGCCCTGAAGAAAATGCTGAAGGTAAGTGTTGCGGCACTTGCTGCCCAACTGTAGCACGTTAGCTTAGTCACCGATACCAAACGTGAAACTAGCGATTAGCAGGGTAACATTTCCTGGAATGGGTAATGCTCAATAAACGGCCCATTCTCCATTTAAGTCTAGTACGTTTAACATTTGGTTTTGAGAAATGATTACTAGTGTGATGCCTGTAGCAGATATACCTTGTACAAATCTTTGTGTCAACCAGCATCTTACAATATAGAATAGCCACCCAGCTAACATCATTAGCATGTTAACTATAAACATGACCTATGACTAAGCCACCATTCTTAGTTTTATATGTGGCTGCTTTCAGAATCAGAATCAGAATCAGAAATACTTTATTGATCCCCGAGGGGAAATTATTTATGTTACAGGTGCTCCTTGCAAGAGAGGAAAGATACATGAAAATATAAGAAATTTAAACAATAGTATTAACAAATATATAGTTAAATAAACAGGAATTATTAACAAACATAAACGTAAATTATATATGTGTATATATATATATATA